AGAGAAAGAAGTTAACATTAGTGAGCGGTGCATCCTATCAACTCAGAATTTTACCATAGCGGAGAAGCGCTAATCCTTCGCGAGCACTGGCAATCTGCGGGTGTAAATGCTTGTGCGGTGGCCACTGGTGGCGCGGAAGCCCGGCACCCATGCCCATCTACCTTTTAAGGTGAGAAATCCGCAAACAGATCGCATTGGCCAAAACGCTCTCGGCGGGACCTTGAAGAGTCGCAGTTACCCTAACCACCTGTATGGCTTGAACCGGCACTTTCCCCCGAGGTTTTTCTTATCCCAGCAAAATCGGGATAACGGTTGCCGATGGGTTAAATATTCTGAAATGTTCATACTGGACCATTAGCAGCATTACCACACACATTGACACATTGGACGTGTCCTCAGCTTCAGTTTCACTGCAGGCTAAACCGTGGCTGATAAACTTACATCAAAGTATAGCTGATGGTAGCTATGCTACGGTTTCGTACTTTGCAAGGCGCTGACGCGTGGTACTGTCTTGGAGCTTATACCATATCACTGGTAGGCGGCAAAATTTAAGTTTGTTTGCTTAGAATGAATATGAAGTAGCGAATGGTGCCGTTTGCAAAGTGTTACCGAGGTAATGGGCCTACTTTGGCTCACTACTTTAGCTCACATGTGTGCGCACGTGTGTGAGGAAGCGTAGCTTAGTTTAAACTAGAATTAATTATACTCGGACCTCCGAGTATAGATTAATCTAAATAAACGATCCAAATAATGTTTTTGGGTTAAAATGAGAACTGCTATTTTTGTTTTATGTTTCTGACTTCCGACACGACGTCTGTTAGTAGCCCTGACGCCTCACGTACATTGCCGAAGTAGCGGTCGGGCTCCTCCACGAACAGGAGCGTCCAGGTCTCGATCGAAACAACTCGGTCTTCGCAGTGGCACCGGCAGAGCCGTACTCGTAGCTCCTCGACCAGCGTACCTCGCGCGTGTGAAGGCGTCTATAGAAGGCAATGATACGAGAGAAAAGAAAGTTAACATTAGTGAGCGGTGCATCCTATCAACTCAGAATTTTACCATAGCGGAGAAGCGCTAATCCTTCGCGAGCACTGGCAATCTGCGGGTGTAAATGCTTGTGCGGTGGCCACTGGTGGCGCGGAAGCCCGGCACCCATGCCCATCTACCTTTTAAGGTGAGAAATCCGCAAACAGATCGCATTGGCCAAAACGCTCTCGGCGGGACCTTGAAGAGTCGCAGTTACCCTAACCACCTGTATGGCTTGAACCGGCACTTTCCCCCGAGGTTTTTCTTATCCCAGCAAAATCGGGATAACGGTTGCCGATGGGTTAAATATTCTGAAATGTTCATACTGGACCATTAGCAGCATTACCACACACATTGACACATTGGACGTGTCCTCAGCTTCAGTTTCACTGCAGGCTAAACCGTGGCTGATAAACTTACATCAAAGTATAGCTGATGGTAGCTATGCTACGGTTTCGTACTTTGCAAGGCGCTGACGCGTGGTACTGTCTTGGAGCTTATACCATATCACTGGTAGGCGGCAAAATTTAAGTTTGTTTGCTTAGAATGAATATGAAGTAGCGAATGGTGCCGTTTGCAAAGTGTTACCGAGGTAATGGGCCTACTTTGGCTCACTACTTTAGCTCACATGTGTGCGCACGTGTGTGAGGAAGCGTAGCTTAGTTTAAACTAGAATTAATTATACTCGGACCTCCGAGTATAGATTAATCTAAATAAACGATCCAAATAATGTTTTTGGGTTAAAATGAGAACTGCTATTTTTGTTTTATGTTTCTGACTTCCGACACGACGTCTGTTAGTAGCCCTGACGCCTCACGTACATTGCCGAAGTAGCGGTCGGGCTCCTCCACGAACAGGAGCGTCCAGGTCTCGATCGAAACAACTCGGTCTTCGCAGTGGCACCGGCAGAGCCGTACTCGTAGCTCCTCGACCAGCGTACCTCGCGCGTGTGAAGGCGTCTATAGAAGGCAATGATACGAGAGAAAAAAAAGTTAACATTAGTGAGCGGTGCATCCTATCAACTCAGAATTTTACCATAGCGGAGAAGCGCTAATCCTTCGCGAGCACTGGCAATCTGCGGGTGTAAATGCTTGTGCGGTGGCCACTGGTGGCGCGGAAGCCCGGCACCCATGCCCATCTACCTTTTAAGGTGAGAAATCCGCAAACAGATCGCATTGGCCAAAACGCTCTCGGCGGGACCTTGAAGAGTCGCAGTTACCCTAACCACCTGTATGGCTTGAACCGGCACTTTCCCCCGAGGTTTTTCTTATCCCAGCAAAATCGGGATAACGGTTGCCGATGGGTTAAATATTCTGAAATGTTCATACTGGACCATTAGCAGCATTACCACACACATTGACACATTGGACGTGTCCTCAGCTTCAGTTTCACTGCAGGCTAAACCGTGGCTGATAAACTTACATCAAAGTATAGCTGATGGTAGCTATGCTACGGTTTCGTACTTTGCAAGGCGCTGACGCGTGGTACTGTCTTGGAGCTTATACCATATCACTGGTAGGCGGCAAAATTTAAGTTTGTTTGCTTAGAATGAATATGAAGTAGCGAATGGTGCCGTTTGCAAAGTGTTACCGAGGTAATGGGCCTACTTTGGCTCACTACTTTAGCTCACATGTGTGCGCACGTGTGTGAGGAAGCGTAGCTTAGTTTAAACTAGAATTAATTATACTCGGACCTCCGAGTATAGATTAATCTAAATAAACGATCCAAATAATGTTTTTGGGTTAAAATGAGAACTGCTATTTTTGTTTTATGTTTCTGACTTCCGACACGACGTCTGTTAGTAGCCCTGACGCCTCACGTACATTGCCGAAGTAGCGGTCGGGCTCCTCCACGAACAGGAGCGTCCAGGTCTCGATCGAAACAACTCGGTCTTCGCAGTGGCACCGGCAGAGCCGTACTCGTAGCTCCTCGACCAGCGTACCTCGCGCGTGTGAAGGCGTCTATAGAAGGCAATGATACGAGGGGATCCT